AAATTTAGATCGAAAATATGTTTTCAATTTAAAATAGCCCGTTTTTAGGCACTACGGTGCGAAATGGCATTGGAAAGTCTCTCACACTATTTTTTCTAGAATCTGAGTTGGAGTCTTACTCAGCCAAAAGGGTGGATGAATAGTGACTTTTTTTGCAATATCTAAGAATAGTCGTCAAAGACACATGTGCAAACATTCCAAAGTGTGTAGGTGGCTACATATGTGATCAATGTAGGTTATTTTGAAATGTCCGGTACTAGGCGCCACTGTTTAAAATCATATTTTTTGATACTAAAAGTTTGATTAATGGAATTAATTATTTTTAGCAAAGATTGCGGTTTTGTTAATTTAGTTTGATTTCTAACTTTGTTATCTAACATAAATCATAATTTAATAAACTTTTCAAAAATTATTTTTTGATTTATTTATAAATAATCTTAGGTGTCCGCCATTAGAGGACTTTCCCCTACTATGGCGCCAGTATAATTTTCTGCCAACTTTTTCAGAATTTTTACCTATTAGGATGTTTTGTTGTATTAGTTGCTTACAACCTAATTAATAAAAATAAAAAAAATGAAAATTGGTTACACAGAAGTTACCTACTAATTGGGCGTCACGTAGGGGTGTATTTTTAAGAAGTTGTTTACTTTTGAGGTTGGTTTCAAAGGGTTACAAAAAAATCATCAAACCGTTGATATCTTTATATTGAGATTTGACTCTATTTTGAGTGAAAATAATATTATTTATTGGTGTCCGAGATTTCTGTTTTGCTTGGGAACGTATCTTTACTTCAGTCGATAAATTATGCGTTATTATATCAACAACCAACCAGGTAAGCAAGAACACCGGTGGGAAAACCATATAAAGAAATATCAGATAGAAACGCATGCAGAAGTTTATTGGCATCAAATAAGTATAAGAGTTGTTTTAGCGCGGATTTTCAAAATGGTATTTACGATTTTTTTATTTAATAAAAAATAACAGAATTAAGATGTATTCAATGTTAAATTACTTCTTAATTGTTTTGTGTGGGTGAAAATTTAAAATTTGTGTGCGTTATGGAAAATTATTTAAAAAAAAGGCTTAGTGATATTTATTAATAGTTTATGAAAGTATTCTCTGTTTGGATTATTGTGCTTAGTGCATCGTAACTAATTTTTGGAAATAATAATTTAAATCAAAATAATGGTTTAAAAAAAATCGTTACTGTGAATATAAATTTAAGTTATATTTAAAAAAAAGAGAAAATTGTTACATTGATAATATAATAAAAGTGCTTCAAACATTCAATTTTTATTTAAAATTGTTAAGTTTAAAAGCTATCATTAAAAAATGTAATAAATAATGATGTAAGCTTTAATAATTGTTTTTTTAAATAATAGACTTTTGTTAAATTAAACTTTTTTCTATTAATATACTTTTTATCAATAGTAAATTAGAATATAAATTGATTTTAGTTTATGATGACAAAGTGGAATTCATTCAAACACAATTTTCAACCTTTTCTAAACTTGAATAAAAATATTAATTTGTTGTTACGTTTATAAACATTCAACTTGAATAACATTTAATAAATAATTATGCAAGCTGTAATAATTGACTAAAAATATGAATTTTAAAGCTTTAGTCTTAAATAATAAGCTTTAGTTAAATTTTAAAAAAATGTTTTTTACACATACATATTGTTCGACCTTAACTTGATAATAAAATATTAATTTGTTGTTATGTATATAACCATACAATTATAATGAATTATTAAAAAATATTTTTTAAATAATAATGTAAGCTTAATGCTTAAAAATATGAATTTTTAAATAATAGGCTTTAGTTAAATTTATTTATTATACAATTATTCATTTAAAATAAATGATTAAAAATATTTGTTTGGTTTGAAAATCTAAATTAAAATAGCAATCTTTAGTTAAATTAAAAAATTCACAATATTTTTCAACCATATTTTTCAACCTTTTCTAAACTTGATAAAACATTAATTTGGTGTTATGTTTCTAAACACTGAATTGCAATAAATTTTTTAAAAATATTTATTAATTAACAATGTAAGCCTTAATAATTACTTTAAAAATATAATAGATTTGATTCAGGCTATAATAAAAACTTTTGAAAAAAGATGAAGAGAATAGTGGAAATTATTCAAACATTTTTTTCATTTTTTCTATACTTGATTCACAATATTAATTTTTTGTTATGTTTAAAACATATTATTAAAAATATTTAATAAATTATGATGTGGACTTTAATAAATAAGCTTAAAAATCAAATTTATTAAATTTTTTAGTTAAATTTAATAAAGTACAGCAACATATTTTTCAACCTTTCTTAAACTTGAGTAAAATAATAATAAAGTGATATTATTGATAATAATGAATAAAATATATCAATTAAATTGTATAAATTTTGTTATTTTAACTAAATTGTATTATTAAAAAATAATTTGTGAATAATACAAAATTTTGTGATATAAATTGTCGGAATAGTCAATTTATAGCAATATACTAGTTTATTATTATTTTGTTGTTTTTGTGGAAGTAATAAAATAATAAAAATGCATTCGTTTTTTATATATGTATATATTCATATATACAATATATAAATATATATTTATACATATTTAATAGATTATTTTTTTGGATTTGATTAATATTATTTATGATTTTATTTTTCTGAATTAAAATCCACCTTTTTTTCAAACAAATATTTTTATTTGTTATATTTAGTTCAACGTTTCGGATTGAAATTGATAAACAAAAAACTTTGATAAATATTTACAATAAAATAAAGTATGCATTTTCTAGAAATTATAATCAATAACTTCGAGTTATTGATCGACAAAATGTGAATTTTATTAAATTTTGTTGTGTATCACTGGAATAGCAAATATTTTTTATTAAATATATGATGTAATATTATTTAACTGATTAATTTTCTTCATGCACTATGCAAGAAAAATAAGAGAATAATAATTAAATTATTAAAACACCAGCAGTTTTTTTAATTCTACTTTCTTTAACAGAATTAAAGAAATGTGGATTTTATTAAGTTTTCGGAATAGCAAATATTCTTTATTAAATATGTTAAATACTTAAAATATAAATATCTTAAATAATCAAATTAAAATTAAAAATAATTTATTAAATACTTAAAATATAAATATCTTAAAATCTTGAGAAAATTATATGAACACGGAAATCCTTTACATATAAAGGTATAAAATCATAAAGTTGCTTGTTATTTTACATATCTGTTTAAAAAGTTTAAAACATCTTTTTTATAGATTCAAAATATATAGATTCTAGTCTAATCACCTAATTTTAATAATAAAGTCTTGAAATTAAATAACTCATCTTTCCGCGTTTGTTACGACTTGTATTGTGTTATTATCGTGTTATTTCTAAATTAGAACAATTAACAATTTTCTCAGCAGTTAACTTATACACTTTCTCTAGAAAAATCTATAATTATTGAGGAAGACGAAAATAATTTGCAGTTTTATTATACCTTCATGTCTGATCATTAGTTTTATTGCAAATTGCGTAATTTCGAGAAATGCGTATCATGTATATAGAGAAACGCAGTTTTTGTTGTAAAGGTACGAGAAGAACTTTCAGTGAAACAATTTTAATGATTTAATAGTAATTGGATATTGTATTTCTATGACTAATAAATAGTGTAAACAATATCAATATTGACAAAAATAGAAAAGAGTAGCACCATTAGGGTAGAGCGGGGCAAGAAGGTCCAATTTGACTTCGAGCAATCATATTGTGAAAACCAAACTAATTATATCACAACAAATAACACATATCACACAAACATCTATCTGACTATGTTCAATAAAACTCGCAACAAATTCATCATTATTGAAATGTATTTTTTTGCTGTTATCCAAAAAATTCTCACCTGGTCCTTTTTACCCCATAGGCGGGTTAAAATGGGACAGCCACGGGGCGAATAGATTCCATCTCTTATTTTTAATTTTAAAAGGATTTTACGAAATAATAACCATTGAAAAATATAAATTTTATGGGTAAATTTTTTACAGAGTTAACACTGTATATAACCTTGATCTGGTATTTAGCTAACTATTTATTCAAGTCTTTCTTGTGAAATTGCATGTTTAACTTTATTTACTACTTTTTATTTTTTACACCTTTGCCAAGGTTCAGTTGGTCCTTTTTACCCCAACCACATGTAAACTTTTATAGACGTTATATAATAAACTATTTTATATAATTTTTTAAGAATTTTCAAAAGTTATAAAATATTTGTTAGGTTAAAAGCTTGAAGATGCAACTTGCCAACAGAAAATTTTCGAACATTAATTTGCATGTGACATATCGTTGAGAACAGCTCGAAAAGCTGAATTCGAATTTAGTATGTGTTTTAGTTTAAAATTCTGTATAAAAAAGTTCTATATATACTAGTTATATACATTTCTAGTATAGAGAAATTTTAGTGTAAATAATAACTGATTCTGAATGTTAAGTATATGATATATAAGTGAAAGGGGCAGCTAATACAAATTTAATAATGTTTACCCACTGCAACGCATGTCAAATCTTAAAAAATGTATCGTAAATTTAAAAAAAAACAATTAAATAACATATACTTAAAAATTATATTAAGGTTTCGTAAACTAAACAACAGTGCTCAAAACCTAACTAAACGAAAAAAATAGTTTTGCGGCATGCATCATCACGTCATAGTTTATTTATGTTATTATTTTTGTATTACTGTATTTATTTTATTTTTATTTTAACTTTTTTTTATTTTATATTCAATTTATTGTATTTTTTCTTTTTTTTGCACATATCAATTTTGTAAATAAGACATTAAAGTCTGGATTAACAAAAATAAATTATAACAAAAAAAATTTTTTTTTCAAAAAGAAAATTTTGACTCTTACCACCGCTTTACTCTATTATTAAAAATTAAAAATGTAATATTATTTTATAAAATATTAATGATTCAATTTTTTTCAGTCATACGAAAATTCCGACGTAGCAAATTTCTATGCTGGAAAGAATGTTTTCATCACAGGTGGTACTGGATTTGTTGGGATTTGCTTGATTGAAAAACTGCTCAGGTATGTTTTTTTATTAATAGTTTTAATTTATTAATAAACCTATTTATATTACCACTTATCACCATATGGTAAACAAAGTTAGAATCTTGTTTCATTACATCATTTCATAAGTACTCTTGCACTTAAATATGTATAATATATAAAAGTCGATTTTTTTTATAAATTAGAAAACTTACCAATGGATAGTTATAGCTTTGAGTCTCAGGTTAATTACTGAATGTCTTTTAATTATGGCAGATTGTAATTCAAATATGAATAAAAAAAAGATTATTTTTTATGTTTATTACTTTATAGCAAAAGCATGTTAAATAATTATTTTGATAAATTAAAATCTCTAAATTAAAACTTGATGCGCTTGGACTTTACGGCTATGACGTTGCAAACATCTATTATTTTAAATTATCCATATATTTTTCACAATTATATGAATTTATTAGGGCGTGATTTTTTTCAATTGATATTCGGTTTAGCAATAATTTTCATGTACAATTTAAATTTATTGCACCACAAATATCAAAAAATTTTTTGTCTTTGGTTTTCTTTCTTGTCCACTAAAAACATTTTATAATGTTTGCTTTAGTTTTAAATAATATTAAATTTAAGAGTAACTATCACAGCTTAAAATAATGTTTCAATCAAATAAAATATGTATAAATAATAAAATATCTAAATATGTAGTTTATTGTGTAATGTTTAGTTCTAGAGTATCAGAATTATATGTTTTAATATCTTTCTATATTTTTAGATCATGTCCAGATGTTTCCAAAATTTACATTTTAATGCGCCCAAAAAAAGGTGTCGAAATAGAAAAAAGACTGGAAGAATTGACCAAAAATTTGGTAAGAATTAGTCTATTGTCCACTATTATCCTCTTTTTATTTCTATTACAAATACAAATATATAGTGTTATCTTTATTGCTTGCATTTCAGAAGCAAATATTCTCTGATTATTGTTTGGCCTTGCCAATCATTTAATTTTTTTTTCTCGATTTGGAAATTCCGCCGTTGAACTGAAACAAAAATGCACACTGTATTTACATCTTGCGCAATTAACGGCTTAATTAATAGGTTATGCATGAGTTATGCAGAAATTTTAATTAGAAATACGTTGAATTATTACTGAACTTTGATCAAAGGCTTAGTTATAGAGAAAAAAAGTAATATACTGTTTACATCAATAGTTCAAATCATCATTACGATTCATTTTCTATATCATTTGTATAACCAGTAATAAGGAATGATACCAAAATGGTAAAATAACACTAGAATTTTGTTGTCACGATTTTTCATACCCAACTAGCAAGGGTTGGCCATGCTTAAGTTTTTTTTTATTTATTCGATCATTTACTTTCATTATGTTTTTTATTTTAATGAAAAAAAAAAACACATGATGCATGTAGACCTATATTTTCACTCTTCCTCCCAAAAGCACTATTTTGTAGTAATCATTTTAGTAATCGAAGAAGTTTTCATCTCGCTTTCAGTCAATGTATGTTTTTCACTGAATTTCAAATAAGATATTCCTAAACTAATAGGGAAGCTTAAATTTAACTTCAAAAAACTTACCTTGTGTATGGCATCGCGCCTTAAGGCAAATTGCTGGAACTTTCCGTACCGTAACGAATGTTCGAGAAATATTAAATGTTTTCATATAGATTATTATAAATACTGAAACATTGTCTAATATTTAAGAGTTAAGAGTTATATAAACTGAATTACAAAGTTAAAATGATTTATTTAAAATTTATAAGTGAGCTTTAGAACTTTAGCCAGAATTAAAAAAAAAAATAAATAATTTTTTATCCAAAAGCAATTATTTTGTCAAAACAAGCAGAATTTTTTTTAAATCATTCAAATCAGATGCTTAGTTCACTCGATAACTGCTATTTTCTCTCACTCGACCTGCTTCTGCCAAAATCTAATCACCACTTCTCCCCGTCATTACGAATTGAATGTTTTTTAGACCATTTAAATCGGATGCTCCGTTCCCTCAAACACTCGATTTTTATTATCTGCAGTCTTTGCTCCGTATCTCCGAAACGGGTGGACCTGTCTTTGCCAAAAAACTAATCAGCACATCTCCCTATTAATAGCAACCGAATGTTTTTTAAACCATTCAAATAATCGGTTGATTCGTGCGCCTGAAAACGTGGACGAAAAATTGTATCCATACATACATACACACACACACAAGATGTTTTCTGGAGGTATGCCAAAATGTTCAGAAATCTTCAAAACGTGAAGAAATGTTAAAATTTTCAATATCGATTTTTGGACGATTACAATAACTTATCCTACGGGAAGTTAATTAATATTATTTACTGAATTTGGACTCAGTTTCAGATTAGGCTGGCACTTGCATTTATATGTAGCATGCGTTGCAGCGGGTATTAGCTGTCCCTTTTACTTATATACCACTTTCTCCACGTTCAGTCATTTTTTGCACTAAAATTTTTCTAGAAATATTTTTAATGGCTATGGTTTGCCGGGCCAGCTAGTATATATATACATATATATATATTCAACTGTCCTGCGCAATTGTAAACAAAAATTGTTTCAATTGCGACAGCAACAGTAAGTTTGTTATAAAATTTATTTAGTCCATAAACAGTACATTACAAAAACACCTTGTTTTATTATTAATGACCCAGATACTATAGTATATAATAGTCGAGTAGTTCTTGTAAAAGTTAGTAAAATCCTAGACACTGTAAGTGACTCTAGTTTATTAGACATTGAATGTCATATTGTTAGTGTTGTTCAATAAAGTGGTTATAATTACGGAAGAGCTTGTATTTTATTTACACCAAGTCTTCCAGCTAATACCTCTAGGAACTACCCCCCGTTCGAGGAGACTTATCAAACCAGTACCCCGCTTATCATATATCTGTGGACGAGTTGAGCTTGGGTTGCTAGGATTACCCCTACATAGCTAGAAGGACCCAGAAGCAACCAAGTCAACAACCACGCCGTCACATTTCATGGTAACAGCGGTGAGATTTCCTGAGACAGTGAAGTGCTAAAGGGCCATATTCCCCCCCCCAGACGCACGAAGGACTCAAAGGACACAGGTGGCAGCCAAACCAACCGGAGCTATTTGGACAATACTACTAGGATTTTACTCCCCAAGTAAGTGACTTTTTTTCTTTTTCTTTTCTCTCTGAAACAATGGCGCATTCTCCCAGAAGATCCACGTTTGCAACACAAATAGATGAGTTCAGATTAGAGGAAGAAGACACAAGAATTGACCCTGTAGCAATAAATTCAGCTATAAATTTAATTCCTAGATTTGATGGGAAACCATCAGAGTTAAATAAGTTTATTTATACAGTAGATACGTTAAGAAAAGGTTCAAATTCTGCAACAGCTTCACAACTTTTAAAATAGCCTTAACTAAATTAGAGGGGTCTGCTTTTAATTATATTAGAAATACAGAAAATTTGTTATGGGATGAAGTTAAAGACTTATTAATTTCAAAATTTGGGGAACGTCGTTCTATACCGGATTACAATTAGAACTTGCCAATATAAGACAATTGCCAGGCGAATCTGTTAGAAAATATTCAGAGAAAATCGAAAAAATCCTTGGGTTAATGTTGACCAATCAAAAACAGATGATAAAGCATCATTGCGCTCATTACAATCCGCTCACAATCAGCTAGCTTTGACGGTATTCATTAATGGCCTTAGGCCAGACTCAGAATATTAATTAAAGCGGCCAGACATGCTGATCTAGAGGATGCTGTACTGATGGCTATTCAAGAGGAACAAAACCTAGGTAGGAGTGGACATCACTACGGGGGAAATACAAAATCACTGACAACTAATTCTACAGCGAAAGAGACCGGAGCACCATTCTGCAAAGATGCAAGATTCCGGGACATCAATACTCTAATTGTAGACGGAGGACTATATTTAAGGTCGACCATAGGCCTCGTCAAACAATGGAGAACGTCGGAGAACCACCTCGACGCAGTGAGTCTGTACCACGACCTCCTAGCCCTCAGCCAAGACGCTCCGAAGATCACAGACGATCCGGTCAGAATAAAAGCCAAAAAAACTGAATAATGCCGAGTGTTCGAGCGATCACTCCTGCACTCGGGTATATAGAAGTTTTGGATTGTCAAGCAAAAGGATTAATGAGAGTAATAAGGTCATATTAAACTTAAATGGTACACAGTGTGTTTTTATTGTAGATTCAGCAAGCGATATTTCTTTAATAAAATATAATTTTTGCTCACCTGATTATATATAAACACGAATGATATGCCAAGATTGCGCGGAATTTCAGGAGAATACGTGCACACATTGGGTTCGATACCGTTAAATTTAAAATTTGACGATATCAATCTCGAGCACAAGTTCACTGTTATTTCCGGTGACACTAGCATTGAAACTGATGGTATAATCGGGTTAGATTTTCTTATAAAATTTAACGGCATTATAGATTTTTTCACACAACACACTTTCTATCAATGTCAATAATCAACTGATTCGTATTAATTTTTGTTCAAACAATAACCAAGAGACGCGAAATGCTGAATCCGCAAAAACAAACACATCGCAAGGTTGACGGTCAAGAGCACGCGGCAATGGTGTGCGATGACAAACACACTGTGCTATCAAATTTCAAACAAAGTCGGAATAGAAGAAAAACCAGCGAATTAATAATAGAGAGTTAGATCCGAATATTAATGAACATAACAGGATACCAGAACCAGACTACCAAGGGGAATGATGAATCAGAACACAATTCTCCAAGTGATATTTCAAGAAACCTCAATGGTAACAATGGAAATGAAAATCACAATTAAATTCTGTTCGTGCTTTAAAAAGGTTAAACTATCAAGATTTTTGGGCCCTGCGATAACGCAACTGATAGAGACACAACGGATATGAATAGAGACCTAGATCCTCACAATGATAGAAATGGGTAAAATCCCACACATATATTAAAACTTCTGAAGAAGAAAATAATGGTCTTAAAGATGTTCCTGTTAATCATTTTGATTCCAGCTAGGACCGAAAAGGCGTTTTCATTTACTACAGATAAGGCAGAGGATCTCTTCTGTAAGGCTGCTGAAATCCTAGAGGAGTCTATATAGCTAATTGTTTAGTTAAACCCATTGACGGTAAAATATTAATTAAAGTTTTGAATACAAATATTATGACGTTAATGTTAATAATAATCTATCCTCCCAATTTGAATCCTATTTCCGAATATAATATTTTGAATAAATTCTATAATATATAAGTGTAATTTTGATCGAATTAAAAGAGTAAAGGAAGTATAAGAACAAGTCATAGGAAATGATGAAAGAAATTCTATTTTAAAAATTTGTGAGGACTTTTATGATTTATTCTATCTTGAGGGAGACAAATTATCTTTTACAGAGTCCACAAAACATTCGTTCATAACTACAAGTAATAAACCTATTTTTTATAAAGCAATATAGACTCCCTCAGGCACAGCATGCTGAAATTAAGAAACAATAGAAAGAGATGCTGAGAAATGATGTTAATAGAAACTTCCGATAGCCCATGGAATTTCCCTCTACTAGTGGTTCCAAAAAACAGGATATAGACGAGCGGCAAGAGAAGGTGGCGCGTCTGTGTGGACTTTAGGAAACTAAACGAAATTACGGGTCAGCGACACTTCCCCGTTGCCTAATATAGCTGAGATTTTGGACCACTTAGGCCAATCAAGGTTTTTCACAACCCTCGACCTAGCAGCGGTTTTCACCAAGTGGAACTGAATAAAGAAGACCGAGCTAAGACAGCGTTTTCAGCTATCGGAAGGAAGTTTCAATACAAGAGAATGCCTTTTGGACTTAAGAATG